GCCGTGAATTCGTACTTTGGTGTACGGGCTAAGCCCGATTCTTTGGTGTAGATTTTCGCGTCACGGCCACGTCGTCAAGCGATTCGAGCCCCGGAGCCTCGAAAGTATCGGTTTCCGCGGATCGAGACATTACCGCGCGTTTTTAATGAACCGTGTGTCGTCTCTCTGGAGATTCGAATTCCGTAGATTATATTTGCGCTGGTTCTCGCACGTCTAGCGTTTAAGACTCGTTCGTACTGTATGTCGGTCGTTTGAGTGTGAGTGTGAATCGCGTCAATTTGTTATATTATTTTTGTCTTTCGTTTGTGAATCTTCGCGTCGAAACTGTGCGTGCACGTCCGGTGCAACTTTCCTTCGCGATTATTATATGGGTTACATGAGAGTGTGAATCGCGTAAATTCGACGTATTATATCGGCTGTAAAGCACCGCGTCTCGAAATTGTGAGCGCGTTTTGTGAGAGTTTCCTCGCGATTCTTGCATGAATTGCGTGCGTGTGTGTGTCGAATATTCAATTCTGCGTAATCTGTCCGTCCGAAATCGAAGCATGTCCGCGTTGCATTAATTGCCTGTTAATCTTAAGTTGCGTATTAATAATTTGGCGGTAATAGCGGGCGATAAGGTCGCCGTTGGCGAGGTGATATCGAGAATTGATTCGGACTTACGCCCGAATTATAGACGAACGTAATAATCAATTTCTTCGCAGTGCGAGGCGTAATTCAAGCCGAGCGGAGATTCCGGCCGATCTAACGGGTCGGTCTCGGCGTACGCAGTACGGGGTTTCGCGCCCCGCGTCTAACACCCAGTCTCGCAGCCGCGTTTCTTTTACCGCAGCCGTATATCCGCGCGGTTTATCATTACTATTCTCGAGGAGCTGCGGCTCCCGCTATTATAATAAATCTGTTAATTTCTCTGTTTAATTTACGAGTTTCCTTTCAGTTGTGCTTGTCGTTTCCGTAATTGTCGCCTCTTGCATAAATTATCGCGTTCGATCAACACTCGCCCTGCCCCTCTACCGTTAGGCGAGCTAGTCAGCCCGTGGCGAATTCCGGCAATTTCTTTCGCGTTTATTTCGCGCTTATTTCGTGTTTCGCGAATTTGGCGCCCAAGTTCGATCCTCGCGATTATCTCTCGGATCTCGTCACGGTACGCGCGGGACTCCTAACATCCCGTTCCCACCTGGCGCGTGGATCTATTTCTCCATTTTCCCGTTTTTGTCAACGACCATTCCGCATCTCCCGGAATACAATAATGAACGAGCAGAGAAAGAGAGAGAGAGAACGAATGTGAAGCAAGCGAGATAGCTAACATGAAAGACTTCCGAAGTTTTGCTCACGAGGCTCGCTTTATCTACAATCTCTCGCGTTATATATCGTTACTGTAAAATTTTTGTTTTTCGCGCTTATTGATCCTATGATTACTTATTTCTTTTGGCATCACCTGGTCCCCTGAGATTCGGCATAATGCCACCTAATGCCCGACTGATCTTAGTAGCCTTTTCGTTTACGTGTGAAAAATGGTCTCTAATTGATAGCCTACTGTCTAAGATGACCCCTAAATACTTCATACTATTGCCTACTTTGATCCATTTCTTATCTACGTGTATATACGGGATTTCCGCAGGTTTGTTCCTACCGTGAAACAGCACCACCTCCGTTTTACTCGCAGATACCGATAAGCCAAGCCTCTTGATCCTATTCAGAATTAATCCTACTTGAAAATTTGCCCTCGCTACCGCCCGTTGGACTGTATCTGCTGATGCCAGTATTAGGGTGTCATCCGCATATGGTCTGACATCCGTAGTCAGAGCCATCTTGCAGAACACTATCGTAGGGGGCGTAGCTCGTTTGGACACGGAACGATTGGACACCGCTCGATTGGACACGTAGTATTGGACACGGAACGATTGGACACACTTTCCACGCAAAGCGAGGTTCAACGCATACCTATGTGTCTAGTTTTTTGATAGTGGAGCCCCCCCGTAGGGGGGGGGGGCGGAACATACAGCCTCCACACATATTCTTTTTAATGCGAAGTAAAGTTCTACATAGGTTTACAACTTTTCACGCGAAGCGAGGTTCAACGCAAACCTATGTGTCTAGTTTTTTGATAGTGGAGCCCCCCGTAGGGGGGGCGGAACATACAG